GTGTATGGGTGTCACCTGTCCAGCTGTGCAGTATTTTTTGAAGGTGAAGCAGTAAATATACCTTGATTTCAGCGGTCCTGTAACGTTAACTCTGTGACAAAGGAGGACTTTGCTTTTTTTACTGAGACTGGAAAACCTGTTATAACATAATTATTATATGATAAATAGTAGTCACAACATCTTTTAAATTTGACATAGAACTGCTGTAGGTTTGATTTGATCCAACTGATGTTTGGTGTCATTCTCTCCGCAGGGAAATAAGCAGAGCGGCTGGGAAGAGTGTTCTTACAGTAATGGATGATGAGAGTGGAGGCAACAATACACAGTGAGTGACGGGCACAGCAGAAGCAGCTTCACCTTGAGTACCAGCTTTTCACTAATGCCCAGCAGTGAGCTTTCTGCACACTTTTCTGTTCTGTTTCTGTCATCAGCTTAGCTTTCTAAGGCTGGCCATATACTGTCAGGCCCCATTCACACCAGATTCGTTGCATTGCGATCCATTTTTCCATAGATACTAACGTATGGGTGTGAATGGGACCAGTGCACACCACTGCGATCTGTTGCATTCCATTGCAGTTCGATGAAAAGTGCTCTCCTTTTTACAGCGTAACGGAACACAAATAAATGCAATCGCAAGAAAATGGAAGTAAAAAAAATACATTAGATGTTTGTCAACTCAGAGAACATGGTAATTGAAATAAAGATTTGCACAAAAAAAACGGAACGTAAGTCAACGGAGGTTGAAATTGCAAGTCAAAGAACCGTCTGTTGACTTGAGATTCCCTTCTGATTTTGGTGTGAGCGGGCCCTTCGAATTTTGGCCTGTTCACAGGAATCGCCCAAAATGTGTGGCCCTGCCGGCTCGGCGAAAGTCATTTACCGAATAAACGTTTGTTGAAGAAGGCGGGCTGAAATGTTTCGTATGCACAGTAATTGCAGCCAATCCGCTTTAGTAGTCACCAGGGTGGATTTTATTTAAATCAGGTCGATTTGAAATCAGTAGTAAAAAGGCTTGATTGAAATCATAATTTTTTAAGAGCAAATGTCATCTCTGTCCCGCAGCGGCTCCTCCTCTGACCCGCTGTTGACTCACCGACAGTCCCATTCACTTTAATGGGACGGCGGGTGATGCGGCAGTGACACAACAAGGTGAGGGACGTGGCAGGCAGCAGGTGAGTGGATGCCCGCTAAGTGCTCTTTAAATGTAAGGACTTATTCTTGCTGGTAGTAAGAATCTTTAATATTATTATTTGCAAACAAAATGAAGGTTTCCTATTTTAGAATAATAAGCTGTCAGGTTAGTAAAACAGCGATATCAGAACCGATTTTAGGTTAATAGGTTAATCACACATAGTTAGAGAACTCACACTTAGAGCCTGGTACAAATGCATTTCTCTTCAAACAATCCTACAGTTTGTAATGTACATAGATTTGTAAAACAATGGGATAAAGGAATATTCCTGAACTTTGTTTCATGATTTCTCTCATGGTTACTTACTGTGAAATTGTGTGAATGCATCAATACAGTGCATTTTATCTCGCAGAGCTTGGATTCATTGAATGCGTTTACCGAAAATGTAAATATTGCCAAATATACAGCTTCATGCTACATAACTAAGCTACATTTCATGCTGAAATAACTAAATTATTAATGTATCCTAAATAGAAAACTATTTTTAGATAGATTTTTACTCCAAAAGCATTTATTAAAATAAATTTGTAAAAAATCATCGATTTTTTTTATTTTTTATTTTTTTTATCCACCCTGGTAGCCACTGTCCATGTATTCTGACAGCGGCAGGTGTTTTTTAAATTTTGTCGTGTGAGCGTATCTTGAATAGGATGCAAATGCAGGTATCATAATGATTTCTACTAGAAAATGTATGTCCATTCATTGAGAACATGTCCATTCATTGAACCTGGTGGTATGAATGCACAATATGGTGCACAGAGTTCAGTAGTGTAGGGAATGGATTGTATAAAACAGCTGTTTTTGGTACGTAGACTGCTGTGACCTTGGTGATGGTCAGTGTAGAAGTGCATGCTGGTGGTGAGGAGGAAGTGTATGCCAAGGCAATGGTGGCCAGTGGGGAAGTGCGCAGTGGTGCAGTGTTAGAGCTTTTGCTGGAACTGTCCTGGACCTTGAACAAATACCATCAACCCAGTTCTGGAAATATACAGGCAGTATTAGGTGAATCACTCTCACATTGCCTGAGCAGATATGCGCTGTTGCCGGTGCTGTATACAAAATGTTTTGTCTTCTGCTTATATGCAGCATTCTTTTTGTTCTTTTTTCCCTTGTTGTCTGACATTTGACCTTTTACCCTTTTTTTCCGCTCTTTAGTTTCTACTCTGTTTTCTTCTCTTGAGTGACTTATTTTTCTTGCCTTCTAATGCACTTTCCTTTCACCAGGGCCCTGACATTTGTGTATCCATATGGCGCTACACTTAACGTCATGAAGCCAGCAGTGGCTGTTCTGTCCACAGGATCAATCTGCTTCCCACTAAACAGGCCCATCATGGCGTTCTACCAGTCAAAGGTAAATAGTAAGAGAACCCTTTGCTGAAGATAACAATGGGCCTCCTTTTGTAAGGGTGGGGTAAATCTGATTGGTGAAGGTGGTCAATATATACTGGATAGTGTACACGCTATTGCAGGGGTAGGCAAACTTGGGACTCCAGCTGTTGTGGAACTACAAGTCCCATTACAAGACTCTGATAGCCACAGGCATGACTTACAGAAGCACATGCATGATGGCCGAAGTTTGACTACCCCTGTCCTAGGAGGTAATAATTAGCCCTTTTGACAGTTGGGAGCACTTGTTATAATAGAAGAGATTGTTGGGGCGATATTTGTGTTGCTTCATGCACTCTGATCATATTTGGGTCCCGTGTCTTTTATCTTCCTCAATGCTGACAGTGGAAATTGCATTCTTGCTCTTAGGTGAAAACTGTTCTTTGGTTGCTGACTCGGAAGGAAGTAACGGTTATTTCTTTCTTTTATTAAAGGAACATGGGGGTAAACTGGCCGTGATGGGATCCTGTCATATGTTCAATGATCAGTATCTGGACAAAGAGGAAAATGGAAAGATTCTGGTACTTTTTCTTATTATTATTAAAACTGTGATAAGAGGCAGATTTCAAGAAAGAATTTCTTATTTTGAAGAACTATAAATTGGTTTCCCCCATCTCCAGGGAAACCAAATAACTAAAGCTGGTCATGCACCATACAGATGTCAAAATTTGCACGGTGGGTGCCGCTGCCGTCACCTTTCGGCCGGCATCCCTCGATTGGCTGATTGAAGAAGTCGGACAAACAGAGCTGGCAGCTAATGAGCTGCCAGCTTTGTTCAGGTAATCTACTGGCGCCCGCCGTCAGAATACAAGGCGAAAAGCGTAAGATTCCTCGATCGACGCTCTTAAGCATTGATGGGGGAATCTGTAATATTTTGTTTGTTCAGCCCGTGGGTCGAATGATGAAAATTTGACAGTGTATGGCCGGTTAAACCTTGCAATGGGGCTTCCCCCACACTTCAGTAGCAAATTGCTTGTTTATACCTAGGGGACCGGAGTAAAGCACTTTTACTTGTCTGATCCCTGCTTCCCCGACGGTCCGCACTCGCCTGTCTCCTTTACGCTCTCGCTGATGGAATATCCCTCGGCATAATTGCATATCATGCAGGTCTATGGAACGTGATGATGTCTGCAGGACTTAGACCGCCAGAGCAAAGAGAGGCTGCGGGGACTGGTCTAGCCAGGGTCAGTGGGGATCAGATAAGTAAATAGAGCTGCGACATCCTTTCAAGAGGCATGGGTACTGTCACTGCGCCTCACCACTACCTCCCAAGAAAGATGGGAACTTGAAATATTGAGATAATGCTCTCCAGCACATTGGAAGGGTGCTTTCTTGTGGGATTTAGAGTGCCCAGCCTTCCCAGGAGGTATCGGTGAGCCACAGTGAAGTCACCCATGCCTCTTGGATGCTGAGAACAAGGTAAGTATTTTTTAAATGAAAGTTTTGATTCATCATGCATTTTTAAGCCATATGTATTTGGAGGGCCTGGCTGTCATTTTTAGAGAAGGTCCATTTAAAGCAAATTTTTTAAATACGTCGCCTCTATAAGCACTCAAGATTGAATAATATAACACTTATTATTGTTAATATTTTTATTATTATTCAGGATTTATATAGCGCCAACAGTTTGTGCAGCGCTTTACAAAATGGAGGTAGACACTACAGTTACAATACAATTTCAATACAGGAGGGTTAGGAGGGCTATAATGGGCTATCAGTGTCTATCGCACACAAAAAGTAGATTTAGGTCTGATTTACTAAGTCTGCCAACGGCTACTAACACAGAAATAGTGTGGTCTACACTTGGGGGGAATGGGCTATTTATAAACAATATAGAGTAATTCCCCTGCGATCCCCTGTGAATGTTCGTTCTGTGAATAGAGACAAAAAGAAATGTTTGAATGTAATGCAATACTGCATTATCACCACTAGATGGAGCGTAGCGCGTAGGATACAAGTATTTCTTTCCTGTGCTCCTCATTTCCATCTAGTGGCCATAATCCAGTATTACATTAAAGCTGAAAAGTGGCCTTATAACAATCATTATAATTTTTTAGAAACTAATGTTCACATAGGCTTAAAAGATGTCCAAATAAAAGGGACACATTAATTTGCTGCTATTAACAGAAGTCTTCATTAAATGTAATAAATAATACTATTTAATAGTTTAGCTCTGCCCATTTTTAATAATCGTATCCCATTTTCTTGTGTTGTGCCAGGATGTTCTCATGCAGTGGCTCACTACTAATGACATCCAGCTAAACCAGATTGATGCTGAAGCCCCTGAGGTAAGTGTAGGGAAACCTTCTATGTTGGTGGAAGGTGAGTGACATAACAGTGCCGTTGTGCAGATCAGATTTCCTATATTGATCTGTTTTATTCGTACAGATCTCAGATTATACCATGCTGCCTGACAGCAACAAGTTATCTCAGCGCTTGCGCGTCTGTCTGCAAGAAGGGGATGAGAATCCTCGGGATTTCACGACACTGTTTGACATGAGCATCTACCAGCTGGACACCGCATCTTTGTCCAAAGTCATCAAGTGAGTCATGTGATGGATTAGCTCTGCGGTTTTTATATGTCATGTTTTACTTATATACATATATATTTGCCATTCAAGCTGAACAGCTAAATACATCAATGAAATCCCTATAGGGGGCTGTTTTACATGCCGATTTGCCATTTTGTTGAGCCAGTCCTGAGATTTACACAGGCTTGCATGGCAGTGACTTCATGTTTCTCTGCTTCAGTCAAAGCAGAACCGGGCACACATTGTATTAGCCCTTGCAGTGGGACTATCCCTGTACTGCAAGGGTTAACTGCTCGTTTTTGTCTAGGTTAAAAAAAAAAAGTTATACTCACCCGAACCTCAGAGCCAGACGGCTGTCACAGCGCTCCCTCCTGCCTTTCTCGCTGCAGTGATGGTATGTCCCTTGGTATCCTCACGTCATATACACAGTGTATAGAAGGTGATGATTCACAGGATCTTAGAACGCTGCAGAGAAGGGAGAGCGAGGCGGAAGGGACCGATCTAAGAGCCGACTGGCTCAGAGGATCAGGTGAGTATAACCTCCTTTTAAAAAAAAAAACCAAGCAGTTAACCCTTCCAGTGCAGGGATAGCCCCACTGCAAGGCTAAATAAAATTTGTGCCTGGAGTTCTTCTTTGGGCAGTATGGCTAGCCCACGTCCATGTCTATGATAGGATAGTAAAGAAGCAGCAGTAGGGTGTGCCAAAGTAGGTGCCAATCGGTGTGCACTTCTACAGGTAACACGCCTGATTGGCACCTAGTCCTGCTGTGCAGGGAATTATAATAGGATGATGTCAAGATAGTGCTAGATACTTACACTATTTGCATTTTGAAATGTAGAAGGGGGAATTTATCAAAACTGGAGCAGACAGAATCTGGAACAGTTGCCCATGGCAACCAATCAGCATCTCTCTTCAGTTTGCTCAGGTTAGATTTGAAAATGAGACCGAGAAGCTGATTGGTTGCAGTGCAAATTAGCTCCAGATTTTGTCTGCTATAGTTCTGATAAATTCCCCTCAGTGTGATTTGATGAATACATAACTGCTTTAAATGGTGTTTTTTCATATCTGCCAGATAAGCTTTAAAGAAATGTACTCTAGTGAGAACTGACATTCTGTGTTGATCAAATATAATTGCATCAACAATTTTGCAGGGAACGCACATAATCTTGTTTTGTATGTTTCTTTCTATGTGTTACAGAGCCTATGAACAACTCAATGTGAAGCATGAGACTCTGCAGCTTATTCAGCCACAGCTTGAGACTCCACTCCCTGCACTGCAGCCTGCAGTAAGTATTCCCCTGACTACTAAAGTGGAATTCTGCCCGAAATGTTTTTTCTGTTTGAGTTGGATTGGGGCAGGGTTCATTCCAGAGTTTTTTGGGTTCACCCCTCCAATTGTGACCCGATCAGGCTTGACTTTTAATGTAAGCTACTAATGTCACACGCTTACATCATTTCTCCGTATCTTCCCATGGAAGCTCTACTAGCTACATGGAAGGTCTATAGCACCTTTGTTGTAGGTGGTCCTCCATAGAAATATTCAGAGAATTCATATAAGCAGTGATATTGGAAGTTTAGTTGGAAAGCCAAGCTCAGTCTGTTTCATCAGGTTGGGGGGCTGCTGGGGACAGCACTGGAGAGGAGGTGAGTATTGCAATCAGAGCTGTTTTTTTTAATCCCAGCTTGGTCACCAAAAACTAAAAATAGGCGTGCGTTGAGTTTCAAGAGCAACTGTTAGCAAGTTGTGGCAATTCTTAAAGTGTAGCTCCAACCTAAACCCATTCTTTTTTTCTAGTTACACAGCGGGAAGGGTTAGAACTTCTATCTCTACGCACTGGGGAAATTTCCCCTCACTTGCTGGCATCACTGGGACAGGAAATGAGGCAAGTCTCCAATGAAGACACAGACAGTTGTAAAAAAAAAAGACAGAGGTTCCAGCCTTACGTCAATGACAAGAAAAGTTTTTGGCCTGAGTTATACATTATGTTGATCATGGACATTACAATCTGATTTGCTGATTATGCAATCCCCTTTTTAAATTTGACTCTAACTAGCCCAAAAAATCCATTCAATTGCCAACCAGTTCGATAGGCCCTTGCGCTAGGTAGTTATTGCCAAATGTACAGTAGATATGCAGCTTGGTTGTAACATATGTGACCAGCATTACTCTTCTTTTCACCATTTTATATTATATGATCGTATATTCTATATTGTTTCTCTCTTCCCTTTGGCAACCAGGTGTTTCCCCCATCATTTCGGGAGCTGCCTCCTCCAGCTTTGGACTTGTTCGACTTAGACGAGAATTTCTCTTCTGAAAAATCCCGTCTAGCGCAAATTACCAACCGATGTGAGTACTGCATACCTTTTTTTTATTCCTCACACATCCACTCTATCGTAAGAAATTTTAGTATTTTTTTGGGGGCGAATGTAGAATTGACATATTTATTTTCCCTTCTGCCTACTATTAAGCATTTAATATGCGTAACAATAAAGGAAATATCCATGTTGGCTAGCTAAGCCACCCATGACAATGCTGGCCACAATATTAAAGGAGAACTAAGTGTTTTTCCCCATAGTTCTCCTTAGGGTAACGGGAGGACACAAACTAGCGTCCTCCCGTTACCCTAAGCTCAGTATACCGCGAGCTACAGCCGGAGCCACCCAGCTGCGTGAGAGGCAGAGCCAGCTGTCAATCTAGACGCAGAGCCAGCTGTACCCTCCCCCGTCCGTTCCGCCAGTCAGCGCTGGCAGATCGGAGCGGGGAGAGGGGAATCCAGCCCCTCCCCTGTCACGGCAGAGAGCCGTGACAGGATCGAGAGGTGAGCGAACCCCGTATGTGTTTGCTCACCTCCCGATCTACTGAGCCGACCTGTGACAGTCTCATTGTACCAGGTCGGCTAGAACTATGAGGTGAGTGGAAATCACTCATCTCATAGTTCTCCTTTAAGGATTGTGGGGGGTGGCTAGGCTTGGCTTTCGACTGGCAAATTTGATCGGTGTTTTACATATACAAGCTACTAAGGATTGAGGAACTGTGTAGACATGTAGGCAACTAGCAGGAAATATGATGCCATCTCATTTGGGCTGACAGTCAAATAATGTTTTTTTAACTGTAATATATAATTTGCAAAATGATTATTTTTTTTATTACTGTATATCCTATAATTACAGTAATAAATAGTGGTACACTGCCATCTACAGGCTGAAGCGTAATGTTTTGTAAATTAACTTCAAACCTGCATGTGTCACCATTTCAAGCTGAACTATTGATCACATGATTGGGAACCACTCTGATTGGCACGCACACACAACATTCCCTGTGAGTAAAACACAACCATTCTGTAGCACTGTGAGGAAGCAGAACCTGTGCATTGAACCTTTTGAGTATCAAGGACAATACCCTCTGTCATGCCAATTGAAGGGTTAATACAAGCACATACCAATAGCAGCCAATAAGATCGATTTATAATTGATCAGCTGGCTGTGCTGTTTTATGTAGCAGTGATCTGTTCAGTGTTGTCAGGCTAGGCTGCTCACTCCAGAGCACCCCCTCCATATCATAGGGTAGAGGTGTTCTGGGGTTCGCAGAGAGAGCTGGGAAAATTGATAACGGGGAGCACAGGAAGTTATCAGCTCACAAGATGTCTGGCAGGACCAGCAGGGGCTTTTTTTTTTCCCCTGCTTATACAAGAGATATAGCAAAAAAAAAAATGTACTTAATTGTTAGGGTTTACATGCACTTTAAACACTCTGCACAGTTCTGTAGAGTATTTGGCACTATATAAATGAATAGATGAAATATATTGGTAGCTTAAAGAAGAACTCTGGGCACAAATTTTATTAACCCTTGTTTTTGGGCTACCCCCGCACTGCAAGGGTTAACTGCTAATTTTTGCCTAGGGTAAAAAAAAAGTCATACTCTCCTGATCTCGGCTCTTAGGTCGGCCCCTGGAACGTCTCTCCCCCTCCGCTGTAGCAGTCTACAGTCCTGTGAATCATCACGTCCAATACAATGTATAGGATGTGAGGATGCGGAAGGACATACCATCACTGCAGCGGAGACAGGCTGGAGGGAGCCTGTTCTACTCGTTGCTGCCTCCAAGGATCGGGCGAGTATAACCCTTTTTTTTTTTTTTTTTACTCTAGGCAAAAATGAGCTCTTAACCCTTGCAGTGCGGGGGTAGCCCTACTGCAAGGGTTAATAAAACTTGTGGCCCTAGTACTTCAACAGCTGATCACAGTTCATTTACCTGTAATTTATTTTTAAATGTTTCCCTTCATGCAGGCACAGACGACGACCTTGAGTTTTATGTGCGGAAGTGTGGCGATATCTTGGGCGTAACTGGAAACCTACCAAAGGAGAAACAAGATGCCAAACACATTCTGGAACACATTTTCTTCCAGGTTGTCGAATTCAAGAAACTTAATCAGGTAAAAAAAAAACACATAGCCATATTGGGAAATAGCACCTACGGCAGCATTCGCAAATTATTAAAGTCCAAGTGCAAGAAAAAAATCAACTGCCCTGCAGTAGTTAAATAATGGAAGTCCCCCGCAGACTCTTACAGGGTTATTCACAAAAGGGTGAAGAGTTTGGAGAAGGCTGGAGAAGTGAACAATATAGCTGAACTGGAAAGTGAGCTGAATTGGAGAATTTCTCCAAATCGGCTATATTGTCCTAGATCAGGGGTCTCAAACCTCTGGCCCTCCAGCTGTGGTGGAACTACAAATCCCATGAGGCATTGCAAGATTCTCACAGCCACAGACATGACTCCTGAAAAGAGATGCATCATGGGATTTGTAGTTTCACCACAGCTGGAGGGCTGGAGATTTGAGACCCCTGTCCTAGATTGTTTCCCTTCTCCTGCCTTCTCCAAACTCTTCACCCTTTAGTGAATAACCCTGTTAGTATTCTGGTACCGTTCGTCTTCTGATTCAACCCATTTCTGTGAGTCAAGGGCCTGACCCCCACCCTGGACTCACAGGATAATGCTGCAAAGAGGGGTGCCGTGTCATGTGGTGCCACTCTGTGCAGCATTTAGGATCTGACCACTGCCCATGGAAGTAGGTGAAGAGGACCTGTGACATGGCTGGATATGACTGGTATTTGAAAATTACTATGGCTGGACCAAAGACACCTAGAGAGCAGGTAAGTATACAGAATGACAATTAACTAGGGATGTATTTTATAAAGTGTTTAAAGAACTCTGGGGAACAAAATGATTAGCCCTTCCAGTGGGGGGACTCCTGCACTGTAAGGGTTAACTACTTGTTTTCATCTAGGGACTAAAATAAAAAGTTATACTCACTCGAACCTTGGAGACGGCCGGCTGTTAAAATGCTCCCTCCAGCTTTTCTCCTCCTACAATGCAGCAATGGTCTCTGGGCCCCCCCACGTCCAATATACAGTGCATAGAACATGTTGACTCGAGGAGCCTTAGACGCTGCAGCGGAGGGAGAGCGAGGCTGGACGGACTGGTCTAAAGGTGTCCATACACCTTATGAATATCCGATTTTCGTATGCGATTGCGTTTTGGTCCGATATTCGTAAGGTTGATGGGCAGTGTACAACAGCAAATACTGTAGAACCGATCGACTTTTGACTAACCAGCAGGTTAGAAAACTTCAGTAGATCGTACGATTTTCGCAAAGTTGATGGCGTTTCCGTACGTCAAAATACGTGCGATCTACACTGCACATGCGCAGAAGAACATACGTGCGGTCAATTACCGCAATTAGTCCAGATGCTTTCTTCTAATTACCGCTGATCCAACCTTGCGATAATCGTAAAACGTACAACGGTTCGATCATCGGATGAAAAGCGTTGTCCGATCGCAGGGTGTATGGGCAGCTTAAGAGATCTAGGATCGGGTGAGTATAACTTTTTTTTTATTTTAGTCACTAGACAAAAACAAGCAGTTAACCCTTGCAGTGCAGGGGTAGCCCCACTGCAAAGGGTAATTATTATTACATTGTATTTATATAGCGCCAACAGTTTGCGCAGCGCTTTACAATGCAAGGAAGACATTACACAATACAATTCAAGACAAAATGGTAAGGAGGGCCCTGCCCGTGAGGGCTTACAATCTAAAAGGGATACATGAGGAGTGAGCTGTGTGGGGGATGAAATATTTGAGAACGTGATGGTTGAGCAGTTAGGTCGAGGTGGGATAGGCTTCCCTGAAGAGATGAGTCTTTAGGGAACACCTAAAGGCAGTCAAGTTGGGAGACAGATGGACAGTTTGGGTAAAGAGTTCCAGAGGAGGGGAGAGACTCTACAGCAGTCCTGGAGGTGAGCATGGGAGGAGTTGACAAGGGAGCTGGAAAGCAGGAGTTCTTGGGAAGTAATACAAATTTTGCCTGGAGTTCTGCTTTAATACATGAGCTTTATTTCAGCAGACACTTGTACGTTTCATAAAACAATACCATAATCATTGTCATTTTTACATGGTTATGATCGATTTTAATCAGCCAAAGAATTTAAATTTAAAGGGGCCTGTTTATAAAAGTTCACACAACAATCACACAGCTTTCTTTCTTTAGAATCTGATAAGAAAAATGTGTGAAAAGTTGGGTAAATCTTGGCTGATTTTTTTTTTTTAATATGCCCTAAAGTGTATGTCTGCCCCAAACTTCTCTTTTTTTAGTTTTTGGTAGTGTGGGCAAGGATTAGAACCCACATTTGACAGCATTCAGGACTTTCGTTATGGAGATTTCCCCTTATTGTGATAATGGTTTCACCAGACAGGAAGTGATGGAAAATCTAATACATCAACTCAGACAAAATATTTGACAAAAGTTTGGTGTACTTGTTGGAGAATTTCTCTCGCTTCCTGTCTGCCAGCATCACAGGAAGTAAGGGGAAATTTGCATGAAGGGGAGCACTACAGGCCCAGCAGGGGTTCTAACTCTCCACCACTTTAGCCAAAGCTTAAGGCTGGGTTCACACCCAGGCGTATCGAATATGCGCGTTTTGTGATGTGCGTTTTTACCGTGATTCGCGGTGGGAAAAAACGCGCGACAAAGCGCGTTTCCGAGGGCTACTTGGCTGTATCCCAATGGAAACACGCGGCAAAAACGCCCCAAAGAAGCACATGTACTTCTTTGGGCGTAGGGCGTTTTGTAGGGCGTTCATACGGCCTGTAATACGCCCAGGTGTGAACCATACCCATAGGAAATAATGGGATTTAGGTGTTTGAGCGTTTTGCAGAGCGTTCGAACGCGCTACAAAATGCCCAGGTGTGAACCAGGCCTAAAAAAAAGGCTGGACGTGCACATGGTCAAGAAGGAGTACGGTGGTCCCGTTCTTCCTCGCCAGAGACCGGTGCCATCCAGTGGCGTCAAAAGAGGGCCTCATCTGGGGTGATACCATTGGAGATGCGACACCAAAATGACTGGATCATTTTAGTGTCATCCCCTCTAAAAAGTTGGGCACTCGGTCGTGGACCGAGAGCCCGACAGTGTCAGGAGAGAGGAGTGGAACCGGCGGCATATCTCATCCCACCGGGTGAACGTCCCCTCCTCTCTCTGCTGGCGTCCATCACTAAGATGGCGACCGGCAGGCATCAATTTATATGTATATGTATATGTGTGTGTATGTGTATATATATATATATATATATATTTTGCTGAATACTGCACAAGTTGTTGTTTTGTGTAATAAATTTAAATGTTTCAGAAATGAAATCATTTTTGGGTCACGCCTTAATGACCAAGGAAACATGTGGGTCCGGGTCCCGAGGTTACACGGGTTGAGAACCACTGAATTAGATGACTGCGCATGCGCGGTGATGTCATGTGCATGCTCCTTGTGACATCACTGCGGGGTGACACCCGGCCTCGGGAAGCCCCTGGTGCCATCTTTGTGTGGTCAGCATCTGTATCTCTGTGCAGACAAAAGAAATGCACCAGCAGTCATCTTTGACAGCTGTTTGCAAACAAAGTCATGTGATCACCATATCATAGCTGACATAAAGATCATATGATTGGGATCCATGCTGATTGGTTCCCTGACTGTCATTGTAGACTTGGAGCTGTCATTGTAGACTTGGAGCTGTCATTGTAGACTTGGAGCTGTCATTGTAGACTTGGAGCTGTCAGTGACAACAAAGACCATGCATCGCTGCACACTCTTGGCTGTGAAATGGAATGTAGATGAACTCTTCCCCTGGGCAGGACAAAGTACGAGGGAGCTTTAATCTACAGATTGTATACAGGGAGGGGGATAAACAGTACAGATCAGACATCAATAATTGCAATACAGTTATGAACTGACCAATCTTGTATTTTAATATTTCTCTTTCTTAGGAACATGACATGGACACTAGTGAAACTGGCTTCCAGAGCAGCTGAGGCCCACCATGTAACTCATCTGACCATGCTCCAAATGAAGAGTCATTTACATATTTATTTTTTTATTTCCTATTGATTGACTGTAAATATTTTTGTAATAGAAAGGAATATTACTGCGTTAAAAAATTAAACTGTTTTCTGCATGGATGGGGATCTTCGTCAGGAGGGAGGTAAAAAAGGGCACGGTCAGCGAGCGGCTGAGACGCTGTAGTGTACTGTTTGTATTTGTTCTGCTAGTCCGAGGGAAGCTGGCAAGGTGCCGCCACTCTGTGATTACATGTCATAGTGTATTAGTGTTAGACTGAGACTCCTAGTTCTTTAATATTGTGCCAGGAATAGAAGTAGAATTCTTCAGGCACACAATGTTCTCATGCAAATTATGCATCCGGTAGCACCCTGACCTTTTCTGTGCTGGGCAGCTTTGTGTGAGTGGTTGGCGCGTCAGCTGACACCAGCATAAATTAGGTTTGATCAGGCAAAGATCTGTCTTGACTAATATTTCATGCTTTGGGGGAGAAAAAAGAGCAGTTTTAATTTACTAATGCAAAATGTATGGCTCAAAATGGTTTGCAGAGAAGTCTATAAAAAGAAAAACTCATAGGGTGGACAGAATAATAGAAACGCTAAGGGCCATTCACACTAGTGTAATGTGGTAACATGTTACTGCAATGTTGCAGTGCATTGTTCCTTTAATGGACCATAACCCACATGGGGTGTGTGGCTGTATTTAAAAAATGGTGCATGTCTGATTTTATGTGAATTGGTGGCCCAACCAAAATTAATGTGATGCCTGTCTTAAAGGAAAACTGTACCTTTTTTAAGGCCTGTCCCCCAACCTCCTAAGTACAGCCCACCTGATCCAATACTTACAGCGATCTCCACTTTGCAACCCTGCCCAGAACCACGCACAGCTTTTTCTTCCGGAAGCACTAGGTCACCTTTTAACCTGCATGCTATAGCTCTATTCTTTCCTCTGGGCAGAGCCGTATTCTATAAAACTGCTGGAGGCCGTCATGAGTATGACTTCCTTTAGGAACATGCCGCTTTCAGAAACAGTGTGTGGGTTCCGCGTAGGGATACATGGTGAAGGTGCCTGAAACTGGGACAGAAGTATTGGGACTAAGTGGAGGCATCCATTAAATAGGACTTTTCACCATTTTTTTTGTGTGCAGTTTCTCGCTCCTCCCTCCTAATCAGTTACTGCTTGTTTCACACATGTATGTGCTACTTCCAAGAATATCTACATCACACATCCTACACAGGCTTTAGGACCGTTTATACTCTTGGTTCTTAACTGGTGGGTCGCGACCCCGTGTTCAGTGGGTCGCCGCATGCCTTCCACTTTTCTAAGTGAGAGGCTCCTCAGCCTCCCCCTAGCGCATCAATGTCAGTTCTCACACTGAGCAGCCATTCAAAATATGCCGCCCGGCCCCGAGTGTCAGCGAGGGAGCTCCATCCACACATGCATTGCTTATAGCTCCCTCGCATGTCCTATAGAGGTGCCTGGACCAGAGTTACATCACATTCATGCCCCCATCACCTCTACAGGCACGCTTGGGAGCTGTACAAGCAATGCACATATGGATGGAGCTCCATCACAGCACCCCACACTGCCGTGCAAACCATTGCAGTGTCTTGGGTCGTGACTTATTGACCAAGGACAAAGGTGGGTCCTAAGGTTACACAGGTTGAGAACCACTGGTTTACGGGCCCAGCTGTGAGTTGGTGGTGAACAAACGCTGCAGAAATTTAGGGTTTCAGGAAAATAGTGCTGGACTCATTGTACTAGTATATTTTTTACATTCTACTGGGACAATACTTTGTTAATAAATAGGCATGTAGGTCTGCTTTAAAGTGACATTAAAGCCTAGATCCCCCCCCCCACTCTGCCTGCATTAACTTACCCTGTGTCTCCTCCCAGCTGAAAATCTTCAGACAGGAGTGCCCGGCAGGGACAAGTTTTAAACCTTTTGTAACTTTTTTTTTCAATGTTTTTGCATATATCCCCTGCTTGCTGGCAGTAGATAGACAAAAACACACAAGGGTTTAATATCACTTTAAGCTTCTACAAACATATGAATATCTTTTTTTTTTTATATATTACTGCAATGCATTAATGTGAACAGGCCCTATAGGCATATTTAAATTTACGCTTTTCAGTAGAACACCAGGCAAACCCCCCAGCTAAAGTACTTTGTGTAAACACTGAACAGCTTCTGATAACATAACATAGAACATTCAGTCCTAGTGGAAGAAACTGCCGAGGAAAGTAGCAAGCAGATTGCATGAGCAAGAAATTACATCTCTGTGGTCCGTCTGTACAGAATACACATCACTTTATTCTTGCCTGGAATTCAAGGATGTAACCCCTAGACATTCTGCAGTTCTAAAACATTAATTGGCTGCAGGATGACACAAGTATAATTGGTTGCTTAAAATGTGGGCACATTTCACGAGGAGTGAACATTACTCCATTCAGCAAAGAAAGCAACACAATCAGAGCACGTAAAGATATAACCAAAACAGATTTTCTATTTTCTTGGTATGGCTTGGTAGGGAACATCTTCTCAGACCTTTAATCTAAAAGACAAAAAAAAAAAACACTTAAACAAGCTCATGCAATTGGGTGGAGAGTCTGAACGCCACCAAAAGTACTACAGCCTCCAGTAGAACCTTTACTGTAGGACACTCCCGAAGTTCCAGATGCTTGGTCCTCCCTGTCTTTCCTAAGTTGCTGTGTCTTGTAGCGATGTACGGGCCAGCAGAGATTAAACTGCAGCATGCAGTTGAAGAAAACCAACAATTCTGTCAGAGGCTGTAGCACTTGAAACCAGTCAACCTCGGACTTGCCACCCAACACAGATATGTCTTCTATTGCAGGAGCCATTTTTGGCTTTAAGCTGGCCATGCACCATGAATTTCGGCTGGTTCTTTATGAACCAGACGAAACTCTTAGTGGGTGCCACTTTCGGCCATCTTCCCTCGATCCGATCGAAGGAGCCGGTTGGAAATTCTTCCAACGAAACAGAGCTGGCATCCAATGAGCTGTTCAGGTATTCTGAAAGCGGTCATCAGAGTACAATGCAAACAGGGAGATGCCTTGATCTATTGCTTTTGAGCGTTGGCTGAATGTTATATTTTCTTCATTCAGCCTGCAGGTTGAAGAAAATAGTGTATGGGCAGCTTAAGTTGTTTGAAACTGGCCATACACCTTAGTGATGATTGCCTTTAGGATTTTTCCAGCAACCAAAACCATCTATATCATATCCAGTTAGGCCCTTCTACTACATAGTTTGTTGGTTGATTTAAAGGAATTTGCAGGAAGACTTAAGCTGGCAGGATTTGGAGAGTTTGGTCTGGACAGCTGTCAAATGAAATAAAGTTCATGCAAGAGGTAGACCTCTGATGACTTGCACACATTGTTATGAATGGAGCGGCTCTCTGGAAATGTGATAACAGGTGGTTGAATCATATGAAAATAAAAGCTTAATCTGACTGATGCCAACTTTCTGTGGTGCTTACAACCTAAACCAGATCACTGCAAGGGGCTGACAGGGTTGCAGTATAGTCATTACTTCTGCTCTACAGTCCATTTCATACTGGCATTTCCTTTAATTGTAAAGAAAAACAAGGTGTGAAGGACATCCTGCTCCACAAAGCATTTATATGATGTGAGCAGCTTTCTTGAAGATGTAAAAGTGTAGCTGGGGATTTTTTTTTTTTAAAACACTTACTTATAAACACCTAAAAAAAGTACCTTCATGCTGCATCTGATCTTGTATAGTGCCCCTTCTGTGCAAGTCCTAGTCTGCAGAGTCTAACCCTACCATCTCTTGCCTTGTGTATTGTACACATTGATGGAGAGATAGTAAGGCACATGTGGTGGTGGCAGGATCACAGCTAGCAGACTTGGAAGCCTGTGATAACTTGCACTTGGGGTTTACTAGGAGAGAAGGATTACTCTATAGGAAGATGCAGGAACCTGGTAGGTGTCCACTACTCATTGCAAGGACTTGACAGAAACCTGTGTTTAAGGTGAAATTAAGGTTGCTATTGCTGACTTGCTTCTGAAAATTTGCTTTCTACACCACAGCCACAAAGCAACAGCATAAAAAAGGGCAAACAACTACCTGCCAGATTTTATAGTACATTGCTTGTGTTATAAGGCTGAAGCTGAGCTCTAGGCGAAACTGCCAGATACACAGATCAAATGCATACAAGAATTTTCTTATGTGCCAAAAGATTTGGGTTTCTTCATTCAGTTCTATGATTTACATAGACCTGCCGCACAGCACAGCCAGTTGGATAACACCACTTATATTCAAAAGAATACAGTGGTGTCCTATCCACCTGACTAGACTATGAAAGAACAGTAGCAGACTCACTGATTATCCCATATCTGCTCACTCCTCCTATCAGCATGGCATCTTGTCAACATATCTGCATGCAACACAACACACCAGTTTGGGTCCCAGTCAGATGACGCCTGTATAAAATGCCAATGTGTACTCCTTAGGGTTGCCACCTGTCCAGGATTCACCCGGACAGTTCGGGTTTTGAATGCTGTGTTTGGGTTTCATGGCAGCAGAAACCCGGACACAAGATGTCAGGCAGACAGGGACAACCAAAATTAAGATAGGGGCTACTGGCCCCCCACTAAAAATAGTCTCTACTATGATAATATAGAAAATGAACTGCGCCAATAAGCAAGCTAACAGCTACAAGGCACTGGAATGTACACCCACTGTGAGTGTGTGTACGTGAAAAATTAATAACTAAATGTGCCGAGCTAAGTCGGCACATTTAGTTATTCAGTCTCTACTGTGATATTTACATATGAATGGGCGGCACTTTTTTACATATCAACAATCCACGACTTATTCTCCCACAAAAATGGCCATGCGTCGCTGGAGTGCTCGGGTTTCGCTTGAAGAAAAGGTGGCAACCCTAGTACTCCTGCTCCCTTTAGGATTGGCAGACAAGGCGGTTAGATTGCTGGCAGTCCTAGCAATGGGATGTGTTTTGTAGTCTTGACAAGTAGAAACAGCAAATAAATTTGAACAGACGTTAACACAACCACAAGAGATGTTGCTTGGTTAATTTACACTTTATTAACTTACACTATTATTCAAACACTACGATAAAAAGCCTATACAATACACCAATATGCCTACAATAAAGGCACATATCAGATATCCTCTTCCTTAATCAGACTGCAATTCAGCAAGTGAGCCAAATGCCTGCATGTTGTCCTTTTCTAAACAGAATCACCACATGCGTTTTCCCCAGAAAGCAGTGCTGGTTAGGTCACTTAAGTGGCTTGTGGTCCAGCTGTAACCTCAAGCTGCCACTCTACAAGCTTGTCTGGAGACCCTGTAGCCAGCTGAAAACATACTTGGGGTGGAAGGCTGGTAACTGGGATTTCTGAAGCACTCAACTGACGCCGATAACGGAAAGGCTGAAGGTAAGAGCGCCCTATGTCCTTGTGTTTGACACCTACCCACTGGGCAAGAGGAGCAGCAGATAACTGGGCAGGTACCAGTGGTTCACCCTCACTGGAGATGTTTGGAAACCTCAAGTCAGAGATGGAGACTTCCAGCGAAGGGGTATTTTCTTCTAATGCCGAATTTATTTCAGAGATCTCCCACACTGGTGGGGCAGGTTTTTGCAGTACAGAAGCATTGACCACTACTTCTGAATCTTGCAGTTTGGGTATGGTAATATCAACCACAAGTGGATCAGAGGTCTCCATGCCTTCCTTCTTATAAGGTGTGGACACTTTGCTACCATAGAAGATCCCCACGATGGAGTTGTTAAATTGGTTGAGAGATTCTGAAACCAAGGACTGTTCAAGAAATTGACCATCAGGATTTAGTGGAGACCGGCAGTCAGATGAGCCAACATCTTCTACACTACCCAACCATAATTTTCCTCCACCTCTTGTCATGGGTGTACTTTCTGATACGGTCACAAACAGTGGGGACACACCAGACTTGGGAGGCGCTCTGCTGTCCCACTGCTCCGGCTGTGATGAAAAGGGAGAAGAGTTTCCATGAACTGCAGCTACAAATCCCATGTCCATAATTTCAGTCAACGTGGGGTTAGAGTTGGACATCAAGAAGCTTGCCCCACTTGTATCCCAGCCAGAGGACATCGTGTGTAGCTGGGTTTGCAGATAACTATGATAGAAAAGGCAAAGGAAGACCAGTTAAGATCTGAGGGCACTTTATGTAACCTAATCCTAACAGCAAAGATCAGAATACATGGCATAAGATTCCTCAGAAATACAATAAAACAAGGCAAACCCAGATGTCCTTATCTGAGTATTTGTGCCAAGCAGGTATGCATTACAGCCAGACAACTAGCATTTGTAGAATGCATTTAGCAGTCCCAGCAGCTGCAAACACAGGCTGAGGTGAAAATATTCCTTTTGTTCCATTCTGAAAGTTCTCTTCTCTAAAAACGTTGAATGTGTTAGACCAGCTTTTTGGTATAAGCCAGAGGTCCCCAAACTGGTCTGTGCCAGATGCAGCCCTTTGCTTGTCTTTACCCTTGCTTTTGACCCTGGGGGTGCTTCACCTCCTCCCACTGACACCAATGACGGGTCCAGTGGCGGGGGCATTCCCCCCCCCCCCCCCACTGGCACCAATGCTGGGGCATTACGCCTCCTCCCGCTACAGGCATCAATGCTGGAATATTACTGCCCCCCACCAATGATAGGGTGCCATGCTATGCCTCCTCCCACTGACACCAATAATGGGGCATTACTCCCCCTTCCATCACTGACACCAATGAAGGGGGTACGCTGCAACCTCCACCCATTGCAGGCACCAATGGACGGGGCATTACTCCCCCCTCCATCACTGACACCAATGAAGGGGTACGCTGCAACCCCCACCCACTGCAGGCACCAATGGATGGGGCACTACTCCCCCACCCACTGCAGGCACCAATGGATGGGGCACTACTCCCCCACCCACTGCAGGCACCAATGGATGGGGCATTACTCCCCCACCCACTGCAGGCACCAATGGATGGGGCATTACTCCCCCACCCACTGCAGGCATCAAGTTATTTCACTACCACTGCTCACCAATCCTAGGGCGTTGTTTACTCCCACTTATGCCCAGGCATTTTCTACTACCACTGGCCACAGTCTGGCCCCCCCTCTGAGGTCTAAAGGGCAGTGAACTGACCCTTTGTTTTAAAAAGTTCAAGGACCCCTGGTATAAACAATTGCTTCAGTGCAGCTATATCATGTAATCCAGCCTCTGATAAGTTTATCTTCACCCAACATTGCACAGTATATCAGAAAAGACTAATGTTTAAAAGGGAAACACAATGGTGGCACTTTATCAACACTAGAGCAGACAAAATCTGGAGCTGTTATCCTTGGCAACCAATCAGCATCACTCTTCAGTTCAGTTAAGGTTTGAAAATGAAAGAGAAGCTGATTGGTTGCCATGCACGGCTGCTCCAGATTTTGTCTGTGCCAGTTTTGATAAATTACTCTCAATTCATATTATTCAAGTTGCAGCAACACATGAGCAATCTCATTGCATTACATTACAGTATTGGGGACAGTGAAACAGGAGTTTTGGCTAATTGCATTTTAAACATGGGGGGGGGGATTTATCAAAGCAATTGGGACAGTTTTAGACTCTTAGATCTTTTTATGTGCAAATCTGTCTTAACATGTGCTCCTGTTTGCACCTGAGCTTCCACTATTTTTTCAACTGCATGCTTTTTGCACCCGTTTTCAGCTGCACTTGTTCTGGGGTTCTATGAAACTGGAGCATCACCTAACAATCACAACTTAAGTCCCCATGACCACTTCAAGAAGCAACAGCTCAGCTTTTTGTCCCGAGTTACAAGTCTTCTTTCTTGGAGTCTATTAAACCTCATTTATGAACAACATTACACTAGCATCATAAATCTGGTGCAAAATATGTTCCATGCAAGTTCAAACACTTGCAATTGCTATGATAAATTCCCCTCATTGTCTTATGCAATTACCCCAAGTTCATAAGAAGTAAAGTGTTAGCACATACACCCCAAGCAAACACTACTGCTGACAGCACTAGAAGTAGACACTCAGGTTCAGCACATTAAACTACACTACCTGCCCCTTCCACCCCAGCATTTGTCCATTGCCCATTACCTGCAGTCTCTTACCTTACTACTGATCTCAAGGAGAAAATAAAAGCTATTACTGCTCTCTCACACCCTCAATTTATAAAGTATGTGTGCAATTAATCAATCAATCAGAGTCAGCTGCTCGCTTGCATTCGGTAGCTCAGGGGTAGGCAACCTCAGCATGCCAGCTGCTGTAGAACTACAAGTCCCATGAGGCATTGCAGGACTTAGAGCCACAGGCATGACTGCCAAAGCAGAGGTGTGATGGGAGTTGTGGTTTTACCACAGCTAGTGTGCCGAGTTTGCCTAGCCCATAGAAGGTCATGCCATTTAGGTCAATCATGGCTTCCTCTAGCAATGGTGTTTTCAGGTCTAATTCATACAGGTTACACCTTGCAAATGTAGTCTTTAGAGTAACATTCTTAAAGCCCTTAAATTGAGCTTGTTATAAAAGAAATATGGAGGCTGCTACTGTCAAGCTCTCTTTCTTAGGCCTCATTTACATGGGGCTTTTATTTCCATCTCTAAGTCCATACTGCAGGCAACCTGTACAAATCAATGACAGGCTGACAGGAGCCCCCTGTGTGTATCTGCACATCCAGCGGGCTACCTGTGGTCAGGGACAGATGAGCGGGCCTGGACGCAATCTGTGCGTGTCCCTAGCCACAGGTAACTGCTGGATGTGCAGACACAGACAGGCAATGGGGGCTCCTGTCAGCCTGTCATTACTTTGTACAGCCCTGTGATTCTTGCCGCAAAATCCGCTGATGTGCAGGCACCAATGGATGGGGCATTACTCTCCCACCCACTGCAGGCACCAATGGATGGGGTATTACTCCTCCACCAAATGCAGACATCAAGTAATTTCACTACCACTGCTTTTAAAAAAACGTTATTTTGAGCCCAATAGGAAATGCCTGGAAACGCACGTTCCAAGCATTTTTGTGCATTTTGTTGCACAAAGTTTTCCATTGAAGTCTAGGGGATCATAAAGCGCTGTAATCTACCAAAAAGTAGCTCATGTACTTTTTCCAGCGACGGGCGTTTTTCTACTTGTGACAAAACACTCAGGTGTGAACAGGGACCATAGCTATCAATGGGATTCCTTGATTTGAGCGTGTTGATGAGCCAAAGACAAGTGAATGGGATTTCTTGTCACGCTTTGAGCGACAAAATGCCTAGGTGTGAACGGGGACTAAATGCGGCCGTTTAAATCAATGGGCTTCCGATTTGCATTGGGGTGCAATGAGAATGAACGCGCTACAACAATGCGTCAATGCATGTAATGTGTGTTGAGGTAATGCAAACGTTGGTGTGAACAGGCCTTATACAAATATGGAGTGACTGACAAACTTAACCTTTATTATTTATTGAGTCCCTAATATGACATAAACGTACATATGAGGGGTCCTGACATCCCTTATGCTCATTGACTCAGTGAGTGGTGCAGCAATGACAAGGATGACACTCCAGGGCAGGCGCCATAATAATGTCATCAACTGAACAAAACAACATTCCCTCGAAATGAATGGAAGCGATTCTCCGGCGCCCCCTGCCGGCCAGAGCCAGGCCGCGGCCGTTCCACTCATTGGATAATTCAGCACTGATTGGGTGGCGGTACGTGCTGTCGGCTCAGTCCCCTTCCTCTCCGCCAACTCAGTAGCGGGGATTGTTGTGCCTATGACGTCACGACGTGTCCCCCCTACCCCGGAAAAGGCGGGACTAGGCTGCGCGCGCAGCGGGCGGGAGATAGGAAAAAACAATAACGCCCGAAACTGCCGCCCGGCGGTCGAAATGTCTCGGAGGGGACGCAGGTGAGATGGCGGCCTCAGGCGCATGCCCGGGAGGGTATTTTACAGCGTGCCGGTGCTGCGAGTTTACTTATACTTGGGGGTGGAGGCGCTGGCACAGGTCGGGGACCCTGAGTAACCCCAATATCATCTGTCCCGGGCACTGCAGGTGTACACCCGGACGGCGCCCTAATCCCGCCTGTCTGCACTGGCCTTGTGTGACCTCCCGCCAGAGCGGCTTCCCGGCGTCCTGTTATTTACCACGAACCCCCTCCCCCCTTCATATCACCGTGTGTCCTAAACCTGTGTCCTCTCCCTCCATTGCCTGACCCCAGCCATATGTCATGTGTCCTCCATTCCTGTCTGACCTCCCATCCATGTCTATACCACTCCATATCACTGTCCCACAATCCTCCACTGCATGAACCCAGCCATGAATACTCCATTCTGGCCTGACCTCCCTCCCATGTCTTATATCCCTCCATATCAGTGTGTCCTCTCCCACCACTGCCTGACCCCAGCTATGTGTCCTCCCATGTCCTATACTCCATATCCCTGTGTGTTCTCACACCACTCTCCACTGCCTGACTCCAGCCATGTGTCATGTCTCCATATCGCTGTGTTCTCCTATCGCCCACCATCCTGTACCTGACACCTGCCTGCCCCCAGCCATGTGTCCTCCATTCCTGCCTGACCTCATCTTACTGCCTCACCTCATCTTACTGCCTCCATATCACTGTCCTCTCCCTCCACTGCCTGACCCCATAATACCACCTCCATATCACTGTGTCCTCTCCCTCCACTGCCTGACCCCAGCCATATGTCATGTCTGCTCCATTCCTACCTGACCTCCCATCCATGTCCTATACCCTCCATATCACCGTGTCCTCAACCTCCACTGCCTGACCCCAGCCATGTGTCGTGTCTACTCCATTCCTGCCTGATCATGATCCATGTCCTATTCCCCTCCATATCACTATGTCCTCTCCCTTCCACTGCCTGATCACAGCCATGTGTCATGTCTGCTCCATTCCTGCCTGACCTCACGTTATATCCTATACCCTCCATATCACTGTGTCTTCTCCCACCACTGTCTGACCGCAGCCATATGTCATGTCTACTCCATTCCTGTCTGACCTCACGTTATATCCTATACCCTCCATATCACTGTGTCTTCTCCCAACACTGTCTGACCGCAGCCATATGTCATGTCTACTCCATCCCTGCCTGACCATGATCCATGTCCTATTCCCCTCCATATCACTGTCCTCTACCTCCACTGCCTGACCCCAGCCATGTGTCATGTCTCCATATCACCGTATGTTCTCCTATAACCCAACACCTGCCTGTCTCCATCCATGTGTCCTCCATTCCTGCCTGATCTATAACTTGACTACACTTTATATCACTGTGTGTCTTAAACCTGTGTCCTGTCCCACAATCCTCCACTGCATGACCCCAGCCATTCCTGCATCACCTCACATTATATCCTATCCCCCCTCCATATCACTGTGTACTCTCCTAAAACCTTCCTGCACCCAACACTGCCATGTGTCCGCCCTGACTGCTCCGTTCCTGTCTGACCTCACTTTTATATCCTATACCCCCTCCATATCAAAGTGTTCTCTCTCACCATCCTGTACCCTCCACTGCCTGACTCCAGACGTGACATGTCTCCTCCATTCCTGACTGGCTTTACATGTGTATTATCCTGTGCCCACCACTGTCTTGTCTTCTGCCATGTCTCCTCCATTGCTGCCGGACCTCACATAATTCATGTACACCTCCCTCCATATTACTGTGTGACCTCATATCTATTCTCTTCTTCTCCC